ATACTCTAATTCACCGACATTTTTGGGTTTTGAATCTGCTTCATGTAAAAATATATTTTTTTTTCAACATCCTGAAACTTCCTATTTAGTACATCACACATTACCTCCTCCACTTAGTGATTTTACTTTTATCTTTCATTCTTTGTATTTTTTTTTTTAACAAACCAGCCATATCCTGCCAAGGCAGGGTGATCCCAAAATTTAGTAATTCTTTGTATTTTGTCTTCATTATTTAGTTCACATTTTACAAATCTGAATAAAAGATTTGGTTCCATCTTGCTGTTTTCTGCTAGGGTATTTCCTTTTCAAGGTTTCTTTTTCCTTCCTTACATTTAGTGTATTCATTTTTGACTTATGTTTCTGATGAGTCTCTGGATTGGCTTGCTTCCTATATGGTTCCAAATTCTTTTTATTTATTATTCACAACTCTCCAGAACCTTCCATTACTTTATTCTTTAACATTTTTTCTTTTACCCATTTTGGGAATAAACTTTTTAAATCTTATTTCATAAAAGTTAAATAACTCTTTCTCTTAATCTTTTATACCATTTAACTTCTCAAAAACACTGCCTTAAAGCATTATTTTTTTATTATAATTTATTTATTCCTGTGTGTGTGTTTCGTTTTCCTCTACTAAGTTATATTTATCTTCATTAGTACATGATCACCATTTCCTAAGGGTTTAATAGTTTGTGTTGAAAATTCCTTCCTTTGTTCCAGTGACTACCAGGTGAAGAATTGACTATATTCTTTCACTTGTCACTTCATTTATATTTTGTTATATCAAAAACCTGTCATTACATTAAAAGATTGATTTACCATTTATTTGGAGTTCTGGATTATACCTGGAAAGGGTTTCGGGGGTTAACACCGTCGTGGCACAGTCTGAGACCAGGCCTCATAGTGGATCAAGGTCAGATCAACCAGGCTGTTACTGCTGGCCACACACAAACTGACATACGAACCACAGCCTGGCTAATCACATACTGACTTTAGGTGCCTGTCCAGTGCCTTCTTGAAGACAGCCAGGGGTCTATTAGTGATCTCCCTTATGTATGCTGAGAGGCAGTTGAAGAGTATTGGGCCCCTGACACTTGTTGTGTTGTCTCTTATTTTACATGTGGTGCCCCTACTTTTCACTGGGGGAATGTTACATCTCCTGCTGAGTCTTTTGCTTTCATAAGGAGTGATTTTCGTGTGCATGTTTGGTACTAATCCCTCTAGGATTTTCCAGGTGTATATTATCATATATCTTTCTTGCCTGCATTCCAGGGAATACAAATCAAGGGACTTCAACCATTCCCAGTATTTTAGGTGCTTGATGGTACTTAGGTGTGCTGTGAAAGTTCTCTGTACACTTTCCAGGTCAGCAATTTCCCCTGTCTTGAGGGCAGTTAGTGTACAGCAGTATTCCAGCTAGAGAGAACAAGTGATTTGAAGAGAATCATCGTGGGTTTGGCGTCTCTAGTTTTGAAGGTTCTCATTAACCATCCTATGATTTTTCTAGCAGATGACGTAGATACATTGTTGCAGTCTTTGAAGGCAAGATCCTCTGACATCATCACTCCCAGGTCCTTCACATTAGTTTTTCACTCTATTGTGTGGTTAGAATTTGTTGTATACCCTGATAGTCTAAATTTCTTCAGGTTTTCCATATCTGAGTAGTTGAAATTTCTCTTCATTGAACTTCATATTGTTTTCAGCAGCCCATTTGAAGATTTGGTTGATGTCCACTTGGAGTCTTGCAGTGTCTTCAATGGAGGACACTGCTAGGACAGAGATGTAAGCTATGGCTTACATCTCTGTCTATGTCAGATGTAAGGTTGGGGAGTAGGATGGGAGCAAGTACTGTGCCTTGTGGAACAGAACTTTTCATTGTAGCTGCCTCAGACTTTACTCTGTTTACTATTACTCTTCATGTTCTATTTATTAGGAAGTTATGGATCCATCTATCAGCTTTTCCTGTTATTCCTTTATCATGCATTTTGTGCATTGTTACACCATGGTTGCACAGTGTAATAGCCCTGCTCCACTTGGGAAGTGGGGCTATGTCTTTTGTTTTTAGTGAGTGTGTGGGATAACCCCATGTCCATGCTTCCTCTCCATAGAATGCTGAAGGCATGTGACGGGCTTCTTGCAGTTCTTGATGAACACGGAGTTCCATGAGTCCAGGCCTGGGGTGGCATGCATGGGCATATCATTAACCCTTAAACTGTCCACACGTAGATCTACGTGCACATGTGTAGCGCTCTGAACATAGATCAACATTTTATTTTTCATTCCTTCAAATATGGCGCAATAGGCCTGAGTCGCCTAGACATGAGAGAATGGGTCTGCACACACTGTGTGCAGTATGAAAAAAATCTGGGACCACTTAGTACCTTGTGGGAGCACAATTTCAATTGATCGCCAACTAGAACAGATAACCTGGCAAATACCAGGGATTTACTGATGTCATGTCATATTAACACTCCCCTTTTAAGAGGAAAGTAAAAATAGGTTAGATAAATACATGAGTGGGTGTGAGTTGGACCTGACTAGCTTGTGCTACTAGGTCTGATGCCGTGCTCCTTCCTTCAGTGGATGTGACCTGACTAGGTGGGTCATTGGTCTAAACTGGGGGGGTGACATGGACCTGCCTTGCATGGGCCAGTAGGCTTGCTGCAGTGTTCCTTCTTTCTTATGTTCTTATGTAATCGGCAGGCTGGTTGGCTGGCTGGCTTTGGCTGTCTGTCTGTCTATATCTCTGTCTATCTGTCTGTATCTCTGTCTATATCTCTGTCTATCTCTGTCTATCTTTCACATGTACACATAAGTACAGGTATTATACATAGTGTAAATTACCTAGGATAACCCAAAAATTCCAGGCAAAGTGTTATACAGTGCTTGTAGATATAATAAGCATGACTGGCAAGTAATACACATTTTCACCTGCTCAGCAATCAAGGACTGGCTCATAAACCAAAAACCAACAGGTTTACCAGCTGCTCCCTGAGACAGAGACAAGCAGACACAGGCAGACAGAAAGACAGATAAGCAGAGCTAGACAGACAGACAGACAGACAGACAGACAGGCATACAGACAGACATGTTTGTATGCAACAGTGAAAACAAATAAAGCCAGGGTTCCCTGCAACAGCCCACATTCATCAAATGTCACTGGCTGTCACCAGTTATCTGACACTTGTCATAACACCATTCTTCTAGAAGTTTCATACTCCAGCATGTCTAAAACATTGCTGGGACCTATAAATACTTTGTCTATATTTCTAGACAATAGTAAATGACCAAGGCAGGTGAAAATGTTCACCTGTCGGTGTGATTGTGACTATTTGAGTACTATTTCAGTACCTAATATTAGTGTCAGAACAAAGATTGGCTATGAAATCACAAGAACTATTATAAATTGTAATTATCAGAACATAAAAATTATATAAATTAAAATAAAAACGAGAAAAAAAGGTATATTGGCAATACTTCTGCAAGCGGCAGGACTCGATGTTGCTTGTCAGGTGAGCATCCAGCACCAACTTCATGGGCTTATATCTTAGTAAGTACTGGCCCTAATTTTTATTCCCATAACATTTATAAAAATGAGCTCTTCATTTAAAAAAAAAAAAAAAATTTCAAAATACTATTCGGAGCGCTATGCAGATGAACATAGATCTACGTTTGAACAGTTTAAGGGTTAATTGCCTTTTTGAAGTCTTGTGTTGTTAGGATAATATCAGAGAATTTTTAAATGACCAAATTTTTGGTCTCGGTCATAAAAAATTCATTTAAGATTGTCACCCTTAGTCTGGTTAACTGCTCGCTGAACACCGAGTCATGTTGGGACTTTAGTATCTCACTCATTTTATTGTTGTCATCTGTGTAGGTCCCATCTCATCTAAGCAGGGGTCCAGTACTAGATGTTGTTTTCCCCTCTGATTTGGCATAAGAAAAGAAGTATTTTGGGTTTCTTTCAATTTCATTGATGGTTTTAAGTTCTTCCTGATTTTCTTGTCTCCTGTAAGATTCCTTAAGCTTAAGTTTGATATTTGCTTTTTCTCCGACCAGTCCCTCTCTTCTTATTTTAGATATATTGGTCCTTTTCCAGTCTCATAGGTTGCCCACTTTATTTCTTTATAGTTGAAATCAAATAATTTTATAACTTTATCATTTTAGTCACTATTCAGCATTACTTCTCTTATTATACTATGTAATACTCAGATATCTTGTTGAATTCTTCTCTCTTGCAAGTTTTTAGAAAATGTGTTGTATGCATTGACTACCATAATTTTCTCATTATTTTGGGTTCCTACCACTTAAATTTTTGTTTTTAGATTTTAATATAAGCCTGTATCATATTGCCAATTCTCTCTCTTCTTACTCACTTCGTCTCTTCTCTGTATTGAGTAATTTCCACCAAATAAAGCCTCATTTAAAATATGATTTTCAGTTTGTTTCAGTTAGACTCTGTGTTCGTATTGTACAGGCATATAGTATTTGTGTGCAGTATCATGTGCTCGTTTCCTTAAGAAACCATTTAACTGTATGGTATAGACTCGTAGGATTGAGACTGTTTGATAAGAGAGAGGGACAGGCACAAGGAAATTAGGTGGAAACTGAAATCTCAGATGAACCAGAGAGATGTTAGGAAATACTTCAACTTAATGGTTGGGGAAAAAGGAGAATGACTTGAAACAGTTTCAGGCATCAGTGATAGGACCCAGGAGACTGGGCAACAGCAATGCTGTATCAGGAGCTGAGACTTCACCCTAGTGAGCATAACTTGGTGAGTATATATTCACATTCACTAACTCACTTTTCTGTTTATAATTTTTCTTCTTTCTTTCAACACACTGGCCGTATCCCACCAAGGCAGGGTGGCCCAAAAAGAAAAACGAAAGTTTCTCTTTTTAAATTTAGTAATTTACACAGGAGAAGGGGTTACTAGCCCCTTGCTCCCCTGTTTATAATTATTCTAATTAATTGTACCTTGTCTTGTTTTTTTCCAGGTCGTGAAAATTTATTAGCATCACAGAACGAAGGTGTAGAGGGTCTGGCTCTGGACTGGGCTTCTGGAAATCTTTATTACATTGATAGTAGGAAAGGAACTCTGAATGTACTGTCCACAAAGAAGCCAGAATATAGAAGAGTCTTGCTTACAGACCTCAAGCGTCCCAGAGCCATTGTTGTGCATCCCAACAAAGGGTCAGTTTCTATAATATTAGGTACTTTTTCTGTAAATTTTCTTAATGACACCCTGTACAATTTAAATTCTTTGTGTTTATGAATTTCATAGAATCTTTCAAATTATACAAAACATTTTATACTAAATTATTTTTTTTTCATCAAACTGGCCATATCCCACCACGGCAGGTTGACCTAAAAAGAAAAACAAAAGTTGTTCTTTGTAGGTCACTCTTTTTAAGAAAAATTAAAGTTTTTGTTTTTAAGAAAAATTAAAGTTTTTGTTTTTAGGTCACCCTTAAAAAGAAAAACGAAAGTTTTTCTTTCTAAATTTACTAATGTATACAGGAGAAGGGTTTACTACCCCTTTGCTCCCGGCATTTTAGTCCCCTCTTATGACACGCATAGCTTACTTAGGAAGAATTCTGTTCCACTTCCCCCACAGAGATAAATAGAAGTAAACAAGAACAAGAACTAGTAGTAAGCTACTAAATGCTGTTTTATGAAGATAGTGAGGCTCAGGTTAACCCCTTCAGGGTCCAAGGCCAAAATCTGAAGTAGTGCTCCAGTGTCCAAGAAATTTTGAAAAAAAAAAAATTATTTTTTCTTATAGAATTAAAGAATATATTTTTGTGAAGGTAATAAGACAAAAATTTTTTTTCTGATCAGTACTTACCGAGATACAGTGGCGGGAAGTTGACCCAAAATGACCAGGTGGCGGCAACATCAGTGACTTCCGCAAAATCCCATTTTTTTATTTTACGCTTTTTATACTTTTTTCTTTTCTGCACTAATTTGTTTATCATTATTTTGCTTACAAAACTTGTTTACAAGTTTATTGTAAACAAACTTATGAAAATATTAGTGTGGTTATTGTGTTGAATACAACGGTACCATATAGTACCATATGGTACAATGGTGCCATAGGGTGCAATGGTACCATATGGTATAATGACACCATATGATACAACGGTACCATATGGTACAATGGCACATGATACAATGGTACCATATGATACAATGGTACCATTTGGTACAATGGTACCATATGATACAATGGTACCATATGGTACCATATGGCATAATGGTACCATATGGTACCATATGATACAAGGGTACCATATGGTAAATTGTACCATACAGTACAATGATACCATATTGCAATTGTACCATATGGTACAATGCAATATGATGTAATGGTACCATATGGTACATTGTGCCATACAGTACAATACCATATTGCAATTTTACCATATGGTACAATGGCACCATATGATACAATGGTACCATATGGCACAATATGGTACAATGGCACATGATACAATGGTACCATATGATACAATGGTACCATATGATACAATGGTACCATATGATACAATGGTGCCATATGGTACAATGGCATCATTTGGTACAATGGTACTATATGATGCAATGGTACCTTATGGTACCATATGGTGTAAAGGTACCATATGGTACCATATGATGCAATGGTACCTTATGGCACATTGTACCATACAGTACAATGATACCATATGGTTCATTGTACCATATGGTGCTATATGGTACTGTTGTATTCAACACAATAAACACACTAATATTTTCATTATTATTTTGTTTACAATAGTTGTTTACAACAAAAATATGCAAAAATGTTATATATTAGTAATGTTCTATTATACATTTACAAGTGTACAGGAACTTGACGCATTCCTTGAGGTGGATGACAAAGCACTTTGTCTCAGAAACTGGAGAGTCAGTAGCTAGCTTGAGTCGCCACTCACTCAGTCTTGGCTAGTGTCTCATTCCACCAACACCTATTGACCATATGGTACACGGTATCATATGTTACAGGGTACCATATGGTACATTGTACTATATGGTATAGGGTACCATGCAGTACAGGATAACATATGATGCAGGGTACCATATGGTGCAGGGTACCATATGGCACAGGGTACCATATGGCACAGGGTACCATATGGCACAGGGTACCATATGGTACAGAGTACCATACAGTACAGGACACCATATGGTACAGATACAGGGATAACTATGGAAATAAGTCACCCTGACTTTCTTGGGTTATCCAAGGATTTTATACATATGCTGCTATGTATGATAATCTATGTAATTGCATTTCTGTACACCTGAATAAACTTACTCAAGTGCATGTGGCATCATAAGTAAGTTTATTTAGTTATTCACAAATAAAGTTACATAGAATATCATACTTAGCAGCATATGTTTGGAGAACCTAGGATAACCCAAAAAAGTCAGACAGGCTTATTTCCATTAGGGTCCCTGTACCCTGTACCATATGGTATAATGTACAATATGGTACAATGTACTATATGGTACATTGTACCATATGGTACCACTCTACCATATGATACCATTGTACCATATGATACCATTGTTTGACATGGCACCATTGTACCATATGGTACCATTGTACCATATGGTACCATTGTACCACATGGCACAATGGTACCATATGGTTCAAAACCATAGAATTCGTCTTCATCTCCACTTCCATCAGTCTTAGAACTGTAAGTTGTGAAGAGGAGAGTCAGAATTCGCCCGGAGAGTGAGTGGGGAGTGAGAGCTTCCTTGCCGCCAGGCACAATGAACAAAGCTACTTTTCTGGCGTTCCCACAATGCCATGCGGGCGTCCAGATTTTTTCTATGGTGTGCACACTGACCACCCAGACCCATTCTCTCAGATGTAGGCCTACCAGCCTTCTCGAGCTAAATTTGACCCCGCTAGAATTTTGGCATAGATCTACGGTTTGGACCCTGAACGTAAAGCCGTAGATCTACGGGACGGACCCTGAAAGGGTTAAGGTGTGTAGGAGAGAGGGAGATTACTCCCTGGTAAAAGTAGGTCTTAGACAGGGATGTGTAATGTCACCATGGTTGTTTAATCCTTTTAGGGTCCAGAGGCCAAATTTTAAAGTGCGCACCAGCGTCCAAGAATTTTCAAAAAATAATTTTGTTATTTTTTCTTAGAGAATGGTAGAGAATCTTTTTCTGAAGGTAATAAAACAAAAAGTACAAAGTTTGATGGAAAATTGACAAAATTATGCTCTTGCGAATTTTGATGCGTCAGTGATATTTACACATCGGCAATATTGCTGACTTTGACTCCCATTTTAGGCCAATTACCGTATTCCAGTCGACCAAATTCTTAGCTATTTCACTAGTATTACTTCTATTCTATCGACTGAGCACAAGAAATTGCCAATTCAACTGTTTCAACTACAAAATAAAGTGATAGGAAATTTGTAATTTGGCCAATTTAGTGCAAAAATTCAAATATTCCAATTTCAAATAGGGTCCAGAATAAACAATGCAGGCATTCCTGGCACTAAACTAACATTTCCTACGTTCATTATTTACATTTTCAGGCTTTACAAATGGATTCCATTTTGATGTTTAATTCACATAATGAATTTTTATTCAAACCAAAAAATAGAAGATTTGCTGTCATGCAATATTGTAATAACTGTATAAATAATATCAGCACATTTGTGAACGTATATTTGACCTACCAGCTGGCGTGTATTAGACGTGTGAGGTCATTTGTTTACTCTTGAACATCAGCAAAAATTTAACTTCTGCTAATTTGAGCTCAGTTTCAAGCCATTTCCAGTACTAAAACCAGTCAAAATCATCTCTATTTCTGTAATATATCTCCCATTCTATCAAATGAGACCAAGAATTCGCAAACACAACTCAAAAAACATATGAAAAAACTGCAAAGTTGCTGTTTTAATCGAAAATTACGGTCTCGGTTACTTTTCTCTCATGCACTGTGTGCTGCAGGATTTGTTTTATGTGGTGCACACATACGACATAGATGTATTCTTTCATATCAAGGCCCAAATTTACCGCTCACAGCTTATCAGAGTGAGCTGAGCTCATAGTGTAGATCTACGGTTTGGACCCTCAATGTAAAGCCGTAGATCTACAGCACAGACCCTGAAAGGGTTAACCCTTTGACTGTTTCGGTCATATATATACGTCTTACAAGCCACTGTGTTTGATGTACATATACGTAAAAATTCTAGCGGCTTCAAATCAAGCAGGAGAAAGCTGGTAGGCCCACATGTGAGAGAATTGGTCTGTGTGGTCAGTGTGCACCATATAAAAAAAATCCTGCAGCACGCAGTGCATAATGAGAAAAAAAAACTCCGACCGTTTTTTTGGATTAAAACGCCGACTTTGTGGTGTATTTTTGTATAGTATTTATGGTTGTATTCTCATTTTCTTGGTCTCATTTGATAGAATGGAAAACATATTATAGAAATAGAGGTGATTTTGATTGGCTTTACTATGAAAAGAACCTTGAAATGGAGCTCAGAGTAGGGGAAATGTTTGATTTTTGCCGATGTTCAAAAGTAAACAAATGATGTTATTGTCCAATAAATGTCCAACTAGCCATTCTAATATGCAGTCATGAATGGGTTGACATTATTTATACAATTATTACAATATTGCAGTAGTCTGCATAACAGTAAATCTTCTGTTTTTTGTTTGAATAAAAATTCAAAATAGAAAGCAAGAGTAATATCAGAGGGGCCTGGAGACATGACTGATAAACAAAGAAAATGTTATTTTAGAGCCAGGAATGTCTGCATTGTTCATTCTGGACCCTATTTTGAAATTGGTATATTTTTTAATTTGAGTGAAATTGGCCAAATTGCAAATTTCTGACCACATTATTGGGTAGCTGAAATTGGTAAATGGGTAGTTTCTTATACTCAATCGATAGAACAAGTGGAGTTCTAAAGAATTAGCTATGAGTTTGGTCAACTGGAACAATGGAATTAACCGAAAGTATGGCTCAAAGTGGGCGAAATCGCCGATTCATAAATATCGCTGAGGTCGCTAACTTCACAAGAGCATAATTCCGTAAGTGTTCCATCAAATTTCATTCTTTTGGTGTCATTACCAGTGGGAAAAGATTCTCTTATCATTTCATGTTTTTTTTTTTTTTTTTTTGACACCAGAAGTCACCT